ACCTCCCCCCATTCCCAGCCCCTGACAAAAGTCATACCCACCAACAGCACACACACCCACACCTATCCTCCCCCACACAAAGCCCCCTGCAAACCTATACCCACCCTCCTCCACACACCCTTCCACCAGATACAAGCGCAAGACTTCATTTTAAGCTATTGTGCAATCACCTCTACGTACACTACACAAACACATGTAAACCAGGACAAAAATATTTTTTGAAATGAAATTAATGAATGTTGCACTACGTGTTTGATTTTTAGAATATAACTTCGTATTTTTCTGGTTCACAGAAACCAAAATCTCTTGCTCAAAGCAGTACTTGGAGAAGCAAGAGGAGGGACTTCTGAGGGCAAAGGCCAGGGCTCAGGGGGCGGGAAGTCCAGTCCCAATATGGCAACCAGGAGGCGGGGCACCTATCAAGGGGCGGGGCTACCCATGCTGTCCTAAATGGCTTGCCTAAACTGGGTAGCAGGCCGCTCTCTGGTGTAGAAAAATCCCCACTTAGTGTGGCCCAGGAATGCTTGGAAGACCACAACTCCCATGATGCACCACGCCCCACAGATGGCGCCTGCGCCCGGAGCATGATGGGGGCTGGCAGAGGGGGTGTAGATCTTCCCCTCCCAGTTTAGTCTAGGAGTGGTTGGAAGACCACATACCCCATGATGCACCGCTCCCCGAAGCTGGCGCCCGCGTGTGCGGGGGGGAGGGGGGAGAGCGGTGCCGTGCGCTGAGGTGGGGGCGGGGTGGAAGCGGAAGTGGCTTCCCCTGGCGGAGCGGCCGGCTGGGCCCGGTTCCGGGTGTCCCTGACTCGGTGGCGGCGGGGGGAGGGAGGAAGATGGCGGCGGACTTGGAGGCAGAGGTGCCGGCCATTGACAAGAGCCTGCTGGAATGCTCGGCAGAAGAGGTGGCCGCGGTGAGGCGGGGGGGGAGGGGGCAGGCGGGAGACAGGGGCTGTTCCCCCAGCCCTTCCCATTCCCGCCGGGGCGGGCCGCGCTGTGACCTACTTCGGCTTCCAAGGGGGCTGCTCCGTCCTGGTCCCTCTGCTGCAGAGACCTGAGGGGCAGAGGAGGGAGGGGAGACATGTGCGTAGGGCAGGCACCTGCTTGCTACTCTAAATTAAACTTAAAATGAATAAAAGATCTATTTAAAATAATTATTTAAAATATACTGAAGATAATTTTTATTGTAGTTCTATAATAATAATAATAATAATAACTGCATTTATTTTCTACCTGTGGGGACTTTTTACCATCTGTGTGCACCCGAGAGCTTGCAGTTTTTTTTTTTTGCAGTTTCTTCAATCAAAGGTGTCATCTCTGAACCAAGCATTCTAGAATTTTGCATTTCTTTTTGCTTCAGACCAGCATGGCTACCGCGCTGTGACCTACTTCGGCTTCCAAGGGGGCTGCTCCGTCCTGGTCCCTCTGCTGCAGAGACCTGAGGGGCAGAGGAGGGAGGGGAGACATGTGCGTAGGGCAGGCACCTGCTTGCTACTCTAAATTAAACTTAAAATGAATAAAAGATCTATTTAAAATAATTATTTAAAATATACTGAAGATAATTTTTATTGTAGTTCTATAATAATAATAATAATAATAACTGCATTTATTTTCTACCTGTGGGGACTTTTTACCATCTGTGTGCACCCGAGAGCTTGCAGTTTTTTTTTTTTTGCAGTTTCTTCAATCAAAGGTGTCATCTCTGAACCAAGCATTCTAGAATTTTGCATTTCTTTTTGCTTCAGACCAGCATGGCTACCAAATACATGCCAAATCATAATTAACACATTTAAGCCCTCCCACCCTCTTGCTTTAATAGGGTACCTTAGTGGTCGCCCTTCTGGGCCCTTGTCAAGGATTAGCTGTTGTGGCAGAGGGGCTGGGCTCTGTGGTGTCTTTCTTGGCATGGCCACTGCTTGACCCCAGGCCCTTGGGGGTTTAGCCAGTTGAGTCCGTTCCTTCTTTCCCCTGTTACCAGTTCACACATCCAAGCAGCTTTGCAGGTGTTGGGAAGGAGAGCCCAGCAACAGCACTTTAGTGGTAACCACTGAAGATAGAGAATCACCTGTTTCATTGCCTCCGCTCCCCCCCAGCTCATAGGAGGATGGTGAAAGAGTTGGGTTTTGGGAAGGGTGTGGGGCAGCCTTGTAATGGGGTCCTCTTTTGTGCTAAGGCCCCAATTCCGTAAGCAATTCTGCACATTGACCCCGTGATCTTTGTGCATATCTCACCAAAGCTGCTCCCCTGCAAGTGTAGGGGCAGAGCCAAAAGCACTTTCTGTATATAGTTCAGGGAGATTAAACGTGACCTCATTTTCAAAAGGAAATAATTCAAGGTACCATCACTCTTGGAAGGTGTGCCCGCACTACAGTTAAAGGTATGATTACAGCTTGTGTTGACATACCTGAGCTATCTTTAAACTAGCTAGCTCAGCTGTGTCAACCTGACTTGACCAGAGTACTGGAGTATGATTTGCGCCATACCTGCCCAGGACTGTGGGTTGATAGGTGGCTGAGTTGATTTGAAGTAGGTTCCGTGTTGTCACAGCTACATTGTTAGTAATGCTAAAGTGGGCTAGTTTAAAGTTAGTTTGGGTATGTCTACAAAAGTTGCAGCTATACTTCTGGGTTGCATTATAGAGACAATGCTCTGAAACAGTAGCACCTGATGTAGCTAGCTGTCTTTTGCCTGGGCTATCAGTTCATTTTTAGTGCAGGTCTTTATTTAAACATTATTAGATTTTTGCCATTTTTCTTAGTCATTCTCAGGCACATTGATTGAGAGAGATGCTGGGGTCTGATAAACCATGGCATGTTATAGATTAAATTTAGATTTAGCATCTGACTGTAACATACATGTGTATCATATAATGCATGCATATGTATGCTATTCATTATATATAGATAGCGGCATATTTGCATTGTAGTGTATATTCTAATCTGGTTGGAAAATATTAATGTTTGATACAGAGACCGATTGTCTTAAGTGAGTTTTTTTTGTATTTTGAACAAAACGTGGTATTGTAATTTCTCATTGTAATCTGTGACTAAAAAACTCCAAGCAGCTATAGCCAAGAGAAAAAATATAATTAAGAGACTGAGAGATGCTTATCTGGGACATGGGTGGACCTCCCAGGAGGGCCACTTATGCTCCTCACTCAACCACATGCCACCCCTTTGCATGTATCTATAAGTATACATGCACAGATAGGGATACTTATACATGCGACAATAAAGGCAATATTTATCTAGTGCATTTTGATTAGGTGTAAGGAGAATAGAGAAACTTTGCATATAGTGGATATTTAAAATATTTACTGACACTAACAAGACTGGATCACTGATGTAAATGTTTTGAAAATCTGCAAGGGCCATAGTGTATTGGATAGAAAAGGTCTTTCTGGAGAGTAAGGCACGGTGGAGGATGTGTGGTTTATGGTTTTCTTTTTTTTTTTATTTTATTAGAAGGCTATAAGCCTGGAATATCATCATTATTTCTCTTCCATATTCTGCTTTATCAATATTTACAAATCTTCATTCATAACCTGATCTCCTTCAGATATGAAGGACCTGGTGAGGGGACTGTGGGTGCTCGATCACCTGGGCGATAGTGATCATCGCCTATTGCAATTCACCATCCAGCGCAGGGTGGCAAAGGCCTGCAGCAAGATAGCAGCCCTGGACTTCAGGAGGGCAGATTTCACTGAGCTAAGGAGACTAGTTGGGGAGGCACTGAGGTCCCGGAGGGGTGGTGAGTTGGGAGTCCAAGAAGAGTGGTCGTTCCTGAAGGAGACGATTCTCCAAGCCCAAAGGGTGGCAATCCCAATATGGATCAAAGGGGGCAAGAGTGCTCAAAAGCCCCCATGGCTCACCAAAAGCATCCAGGAATGTCTCAAAGCTAAGAAGGAGGCGTACACCCAATGGATGGGAGGGGCCATCACCAGGGAGGACTATATACCTCCATTGCTCGGGATTGTAGGGGGGGCTGTTAGGAAGGCCAAGGCGGAGATGGAACTGGGACTAGCAACCCGGATCAAGGATAACAAGAAATCCTTTTTTAAATACATAGGGGGTAAAAAGAAGGTTCTGGGTAATGTGGGGGCTCTGCAGGACACGCTTGGAAATCTGGTGAGCTCACCAGAGAACAAAGCTAACCTTACTAACAGTTTCTTTGCCTCCATTTTTCTAAGCAGGGACCAGGTCATCCACCCCACCAGGATCCCCAGTAGTCCCAGGGGAGGTGCAGCCAGGCCCAGGGTCAGAGAGGACCTAGTCAGGGAACTTCTGGTGGGACTGGATGTGTTCAAATCAGCAGGTCCTGATGACCTGTACCCCAGAGTGCTGAGGGAATTAGCAAAGGTCATTGTGGGATCCCTGGCACAGCTTTACGAGCACTCGTGGTGCTTTAGCGAGGTGCCAGAGGACTGGAAAAAGGCCAATGTGGTCCCCGTTTTCAAAAAAGAGAGGAAGGAGGACCCAGGAAATTATAGGCCTGTTAGTCTTACCTTGGTCCTGGGGAAGCTCTTTGAGAAAATTATCCAGGTGCACATCTGTGAGGGGCAAGCAGCGGAGGTTATGCTCAGGGGCAACCAGCATGGGTTCATTAGAGGCAGGTCCTGTCAGACCAACCTGCTGGCCTTCTATGACCAGGTCACAAAATCCTTGGATGCAGGTGTCACGGTGGACGTAGTCTTTCTGGACTTCAGGAAGGCCTTTGACACCGTCTCTCACCCCATCCTCATTAAAAAAATTAGGCGACTGTGGTGTCGATGCCTACACAGTCAGATGGGTTGCAAATTGGCTGGAGGGCCACACCCAGAGAGTGGTGGTGGACGGGTCATTTTCGACCTGGAGGGATGTGGGCAGTGGGGTTCCCCAGGGCTTAGTCCTCGGGCCCGCACTGTTCAACATCTTCATCAGCAACTTGGATGAGGGGGTGAAAAGTACCTTATTCAAATTTGCAGATGACACTAAGATGTGTGGAGAAGTGGGCACGCTAGAGGAGAGGGACATGCTGCAACTAGATCTGGACAGGTTACGGGGTAGGTGGATGAGAATAAGATGGGATTCAATACTGACAAGTGCAGGGTACTGCACCTGGGGAGGAAGAACCAGCAGCAAACCTATAGGCGGGGGAAATTCCATCTCGTCAGCACAGAGGCAGAAAAGGATCTTGGAGTCATTATAGACTCCAAGATGAACATGGGCCGCCACTGTGGGGACGCAGTCAGGAAGGCCAACCACACCTTGTCATGCATCCACAGATGCATCATGAGCAGGTCCAACGAGGTGATCCTCCCCCTCTATATGACATTGGTCAGGCCGCAGTTGGAGTACTACGTCCGGTTCTGGGTGCTGCACTTCAGGAGGGATGTGGACAATATGGAGAAGGTCCAGAGGAGGGCCACTTTCATGATTAGGGGTCAGCAGGGCAGGCCCTACGAGGAGAGGCTACGAGACCTGAACCTGTTCAGCTTCCACAAGAGAAGGCTGAGAGGGGATCTGGTGGCCATCTGTAAACTGGCCAAGGGAGACCAGCAGCCAATGGGAGAATCCCTGTTCCCCCGAGCACTACTGGGAGTAACAAGGAATAACAGCCCTAAGTTGACTGAGAGTAGATTCAGGCTAGATATCAGGAGGCAATAATTCACAGTCAGTGCGGCTAGGATCTGGAATCAACTTCCAAGAGAAGTGGTGCTCGCTTCTACCCTGGGGGTCTTCAAAAGGAGGCTAGATAATCACCTAGCTGGGGTCATTTGACCCCAGCATTATTTCCTGCCCATGGCAGGGGGTTGGACTTGATGATCTGCTCAGGTCCCTTCCGACCCTACCTACTATGAAATATATGCATTAGAGGTGCACCAATACATTGGTCTGACATCAGATTGGTACCGACATAAAGAAAATTTGCTATATTTGATATCAGCCCTATGGGGCCAATAAATACCAGTGCTGTATGCAGCCACAGCATAGCACTCAGGCAGCTAGGAGCAGAGCCAGCAATGTGGAGAGCTGCCTCCAGCTGGTCAGCCCATTGTGGTGGAAGGGGAGCAGGAAGGGAAGGTTTGGGAGGGGACAGATCAGGGCCCCATGCGGTGAGGGAGGGGGCAGGGGAAGGTGCTGCCCAGGCGGGTGGTGGGAGAGGCCGGAGCTGTGGCTTGTTGGGGGTGGGGGGAGGCAGCTCCTGCTGCTGCTTGCACACCAGAAGGGCACAGGGGACATATGCTCTCCCCCTCCCGGATCTGTGCGAGGTGGGGCGGGCTGCAGCCGGGGCTGAGTGGGGCTCTTTTCGGTGGGGGCTGGGCTCGGAGCGGGTGCCGGTGGCACTGGGACCCGGCACTGCATCCACCCCAGATTTCACCGCAGCTCAGCTTCCAGTGCTGTCACTGCTGCCCTGGCTCTTCCCGGCATGTGGGTGGAGGCAGGGCATTGAGCTGGGGCTGCTCTGGGTGGCTGGTGTCAGCGGCCCTGGCAGCGGAGCAGAGGCAAAATTTGGGGTGGATGCAGCATCCTCCCGGTGCTGCCGGTGCCTGCTGTGAGGCGAGCACCACAC